AAAACTAAACATGTCTAAGAAAAGATTTCAACATGTTTGACTGCCTGCTACATCACCGGTGACTTACTAGTAATGGTAATACAGCTGTCCAATTTTGGATGCAATCTCTCCAATCTGCCATCTTTTGAGACCATACTTGGAGTCCAAAATTGCCCTGGAGACAGAAACATGAATGCATCATCATCATTATCATCACTAAACCCTTCAAGCTGGTGTTGGTGACCATGCTACTCAACAACACCAGTTCTTCAACTCCTATGTTGCCTGTACTGACTTCCAATATTTTCTCCTCCATTTGCTTGTCTTATTCATCATCATCATGCCACTGTGCCATTATTTGTCACATAGGGCTCGGATTTTTTCCTCTTTTTTTATAGGAACTGCCACACAGATTCCTGTCCCATGTTTGTTTTTTTAGCAAGCGGGAGGTAACTGGTTAAGGAAATAAAATAAAACTCTGAATTGTGAGAGATGTTAAAAGTGGAGACACTGCTGCGTCGAATGACCTGCTGTGTCTCATGACCTGCCGTGTCTCATGACCTGCTGCGTCGAATGACCTGCTGTGTCTCATGACCTGCCGTGTCTCATGACAATGCCAGACCAAATTCGGCTCGGTTAACTCAGGAGAAAATGAACTATCTAGGGTGGGAACTTCTGGAACATCCACCTTACAGCCCTGAGTTAGACCCTAGCAAATTCCACCTTTTTGGTCTACTGAAAATCCACCTTGGTGGGAGACATTTTACAAATGAAGCAGTAGTTGAATGTGAAGTGAAAATATGGTTTAGAAAACAGAGCACATGGTTCTATGTGGCAGGATTGGGAGGACTGATAAAACGATGGAACAAGTGCATCATTTTTGGTGGAAATTATGTTAAAAAATAAAGACAGTGAATGTGTAAAAATAAATGGTTTTTAATTTGTTATCATCTCTAGTTTCTATTAAAAAACATTTGTGACTTACTTATTGACTTTTTCTTGTAGAAGTAAAAGTTGCAAACACAAACTACCTGTATCTGGCAATACGTACCTGTGCTGCTGCTGAAACTTCCATAATTTGGTATACACGTCAAAAGTGCGTCCGAAGTACGACTGCCACTGTTTGTGTCCATACTGTGGTAAATCTCTGTATGTGAAAGAGAATCAACCCGGCACATTCATGTGATTTTTTTTTTAATTAGAGTTTGTTCAACAATTCATAAACACATATGCAAGCCATTTTTCAAAAACTGCCTTTTAGATCGCAACGATTTTTTTGCTTGCAGCCTTAGAATATCCATGACGCAAAAATGACGGTATTCTTTAGTCCACAGATGCTCAGGATGCTGAATAATGGCCAATTCCTTTAATCTTTTCCAACCACTATAAATAAGTAGAGTGGAACTCTTATAGATTTTTCAGTAAACATCTGAGTTTCCAGTTCAATTTTTTGTTCAGAGGTGTGTTTTCATAATACCTTGATAAGTGAAGTAATTTTTTTATACTGTAATTTATGTTCAATTGAGCTTAGGTGATCTGAGTCAAGAAAGACATAACAGCACTTAAGGCATTCACATATGCACTCTGTCCCCATCTCCAGCAAGCCAGTGCAGAGTTCCAATACTAAGGGTACCAGACGCAATCTGATTATATATCCATCTTGCCTTTCCTCTGAGTGTAGTGTGCCGGCCAGGCCCTCTAGTCACACTCAGGTGTATCATTCTCTCCAAGCCATGATAATCTATTTTCTTTTCTGACTTAGTTACTTCTTCCCAAAGGGCCTTGACCACATCTGCCTTATCAACCATCAATTCACCACCCAGTAGTGCAGATCCAGCCAATCTGTCTGCCTTGTTTAATTATAAACAGTATGCAACAGTTAGTATTCCCCTTCGGTCCCCAGTAAACCCCTGGGGTTGCACAGCTAACTGTATTATGGTTGACATATTTGGGTATGGATATGTATTTGTTGCAACTGTAGATGAACTTAACGGGCTGATGATATTCAACCACTCATCAAAAATGGTTTTAATCATTCAGAATCTTATGATAACGAAAGGTTGATAATTGTTACTGGCTGAACAAATTGTAATCCATCTCGGGCCAGTACTCATCTTCCTCTCGGAGCACATGTTCATCACACTTTTTCCAGAAATGAACGTCTATTTTTGAGACGGATTCACGTGTCAGAACTTAAACATCATAGATGTTAAATGTACTGTTCTTTTCAGCAACTTGTCTGTTGACATTAGCACAAACAAGATCTATCGGGTTGAGGTGTGAGTGAATGATATGCAGGGAGTCGCAGAGAAGTGTGGCCGCATTCATTAATAATTTTTGTCAATGTGATACACTTTTGTCTTACTTGTTTTTCTCACAAGCTGCAACAACTCTGCCTTCAAATATGTGTCGTCAAAGTTGACTTGTCCTTAGAAAGCCATGTCTTAATCTGATACTTTGTATTTGATGTCATTGGTACTTTGTCTTCCTCTGATAAGGCATTATAATAGGTGGTATTATCCATTACTAGGCATGATGGTCTGTCCAGAACTGAAAGAAGGTCATTCTCCATTCAGTGCCTAAAATTGTCCATTCATTTCAGTGTGGCAGTTTCTTGTGGAATGTTACTTTTCGGTTCACCGTTTACTAATTGCCATTCTTTAGCATAGGTATGTTGAGCAATAACCCAGGATTTGTCCCAATATACAACAACATGGCCTTGCAACCACCGCCCACGGATCTGCCTCAGGTATTTGCTTCGACTAGCAATCAAATGTGGCTTTTCACAAATAATGCCTACAGTTACAATTCTACCTACAGTTTTCATGACAGTGAACCCAGTAGCTCTTACAATTTTCTGACTACTTTTTGAAATGTCAATACTGCATTGTGATTTCAATGTTAATTTCAGTTTTCGGAAAGTAACAAGTTGATTTGTCTCTAATATTTTTAAGATCTCATGTCTAATGATATCTACATCAAAGTTGTCAACTTTCCTTTTTCCTTCCTTGCTTGATATGACTGTATTCTGTGACCTGTCTAATCCAGCGGTTAAATGATGTTCTATCGAGACCAAGCACCAATCGTGTTTGTTTCTCTGGAGCATGAATATCACAATATAAATGATCGATCGTAGATTCCCCGAGCAAGTGCTGGTACAGTGATATGGTAACCTTCTGCAAAGTTATAAACTCGCATCCTAAATTGATTTTGAAATTGCTGTCTATGTCAGCTGTTATAAGCTATATTTATGACACAATTACCTCAATACTAACTTGTGAATGCACCTTTGACTAAACAGCCTTGACTGACGTCTTATTTCGACTTCATGTCCCTAACTGTGCGACTCTGCATGAGAAAATCACAAAATTAAGTAGGTTTTCTATGACCCCCTGTTAAACCAGTCCTAGTGTGCATTACTTTCTGAGACTAATGAAAGTAAACTTTCCAAAAGTCTACCAAGACGGTTTCATGATAAAAATACATATCATAAAGAAGAAAAAAACTACATATAATATTATTCTTCAGTGAAAAAAAAAAATTCCCTGAACGTCATGGATAGTCTAAGGCTGCATGCACACAATCATGGCAATCTAACAGACAGTTCCCGAGAAAATGGCTTGCATGTGTGTTTAAGAACTGTTTAAGAACTGTTGAACGAACAATAACAACTAAATAACATAAAAACCTAAATAAAATGTGTGTGAAAACAAATGCCTGAGAAAAATCATAAATATAAAAGGGGATGAATTCAACATGGAGTAAAGAAATAAGAAAAATGTCTGGACAACAGTTATAATCAACATTATAAGATATACATTGGACACACTGTTGAGAAGAGAATCACCAGACAAGCACTGAAATGAGAAACAGAGGGACTGAGAAAATAAGGACATCCGAGAGAAACCCTAAGGTCAAAGGTGGTGAGAGAGGCCAATGGTGCTGGATCGAATTCCTGGATCGAATTCCATCTATGATACTAAAGTGACTGCACAGTATGGAACAAAACAGAGAAATATACTGCAAGCCCTATGTGATCAATAATGGCACAAAAGAACAAGGAAAAAACTTAAAGAAACACCATTAAGGTAGAAAAATATGTTCCCACATCATCCTTGCGTAATGAGGAAATATTGCGAGGTTCAACATATTTTTTATTTACCAAACAGCACCTGATGAGTGACAATAGCAGTATGACTCTAGCCATGTGACCTCCTGCCAGATTTCTGGTACCTGAGGCCAGTGAATGCAGGAGAGCCACTATAGATATGGAACCAAAGATGGATGCATCTGAAAACAAATGCCTCAGGAAGTTGACGAAAATTAAATGGCATGAATTCAAGTGAGGCGAATAAATAAGAAAAGTGTCTGGACAACCGCTGGTATCAACAGTTATAAGACACAGAAGATTGTGACACACCAGGCAGATCCTGAGGAGAAGCCAACGGAGAACCATTAAACAGGCACTTAAATAGGAAAGAGGCGAGGACGTCCAAAAGAAACCCAAAATGATTGTTGATGAAAGAGGCCAAAGATTTTGGACTGGATTATTACCATTGCACTCCAGACTTGGGATTATTACCATTGTACTCCAGACATGGGATTATTACCATTGTACTCCAGACAAGGGATTATTACCATTGCACTCCAGACTTGGGATTATTACCATTGTACTCCAGACATTATATTATTTCCATTGTACTCCAGACATGGGATTATTACCATTGTACTCCAGACATGGGATTATTACCATTGTATTCCAGACAAGGGATTATTACCATTGCACTCCAGACATTGGATTATTACCATTGCACTCCAGACTTGGGATTATTACCATTGCACTCCAGACATGGGATTATTACCATTGTACTCCAGACATTAGATTATTACCATTGTACTCCAGACATGGGATTATTACCATTGTACTCCAGACAAGGGATTATTACCATTGTACTTACTCCAGACATTGGATTATTACCATTGTACTTCAGACAAGGGATTATTACCATTGCACTCCAGACATGGGATTATTACCATTGCACTCCAGACATGGGATTATTACCATTGTACTCCAGACAAGGGATTATTACCATTGCACTCCAGACTTGGGATTATTACCATTGTACTCCAGACAAGGGATTATTACCATTGTACTCCAGACATTGGATTATTACCATTGTACTCCAGACAAGGGATTATTACCATTGCACTCCAGACATGGGATTATTACCATTGCACTCCAGACATGGGATTGTTACCATTGCACTCCAGACATGGGATTATTACCATTGTACTCCAGACATGGGATTATTACCATTGCACTCCAGACATGGGATTTTTACCATTGTACTCCAGACATGGGATTGTTACCATTGTACTCCAGACAAGGGATTATTACCATTGTACTCCAGACAAGGGATTATTACCATTGTACTCCAAACATGGAATTATTACTATTGTGCTCCAGACATGGGATTATCAACACTGTAATTCAGACATGGGATTATTAACACTGTAATCCAGACACTGGATTATTACCATTGTACTCCAAACATGGGATTATTACCATTGTATTCCTGGATTATTACCACTGTACTGATAAAGTGTCAGTGTCAAACTGCTTATCTTTCCTTTCTCACAATGCGTGTATGCCCTGGTACAATGGCAAACTTCCTCTTTCAACTGACATCTCTGCAGGGAATCAATTCAATTTTCTTTGGCAAACTGGCCTAACATTTTACAGATTATGCTTAATGAATCTTTTAACAAACATGGATGTCGTTTTTCCTAATAATGTGGATATACAGAAATATAAAAATACAGAAGTACTACAGAAGCATAAACGAAATGACATCAGACAGAAGACCCCACTCCCAAATAATAATATTCTAGCCATGAAAAAATCAAAACACTTATAAAAACAATACTGGGTTTTTTTAATTTTTTTTTTTTAAGTGATGTGTTGATATAAGAAGAAAGATATCCCCAGGTAGACACACATATGTGTGTCCAATAACAATGAGAGTCAGAAATCGTTGAAGATTATTTAGTCAACCTTCAATCTGAAGTCATTCCTTTACTGACTGAAGATTGCATTAGTCAGAGCAGAAACTGAATCCTGACAACACATTGTTATGTTAGCACACTGCTAGGAACATACAGTTGTTTTAATCAACATTTTCTTTATTTGAAATATACTTATGCAAAACATCCAGGCCAACTAAATAACCCAAGCTTATCAATGTCCATTAAACAACTGCTTAGACTTCTCAAGGTAGTGACAGAATTCATTGATAATTTTCTTCTCGTTCTCATCCAAATTTTGCCCCTCCGTCGCCATGATTGTTTTAGTTACAAGAGACTACTCTCCGATCCATACTAATATTTTTTGCCTGAAATCTTCCTTATTTGACAAAATCATGCCCGTAAGATTACTAATAAATGTATAATCATTTACTTTTAATAATATAAGTACATTATATATTGTAAAATGCTGGTATAAAGTACAAAGTCTGAATAACGCTTTGTAAATGATATGTTTGGAGGCTGTATTAATAATTAAATGCCGAAAGTAACAGTATTGGCAACACTATTGACAATGCTGAATTGACACAAACTATGGGAAATTGTTGAATTCCTTTTGAGTTATTGCAGGGAATTGGGGGGGGGGGGGGGACGTGGAAATGTTCCTTTTAAATAAATCAATAATTCACACACTTGTCGCCCTTTAAAACAAACTAGGTAGGAAACAAAAATCATCATCATGTAGCAGGTCCTTTGCAGAACGTCGCTCTCATCACAGTCTGCCTGTAAGAAACTCGTTCTCTTGCCAGTTCTCCCGCCTCATGAACTTTCACACTCAAGGAGTCACTTATATCCTGTACCCATCTTCGTGTCGGTCGGCCTCTGCCCCTCCTTCCTGGTACCATGCCTTTTGCTATATTTTTTTCCAATCCGTCGTGGCGCTTAATATGACCAAAATATTTCAGCTTTCGAGAAAGAATGCTGTTTATTAGCCAATCTTCCTTGATGTTCAGATCTTTTAAGATGTCAATATTTCTAATCTTCTTTGGAAACAAAAATAAGCATCCAAAATCAGGGGCTAAATGGCCTACCCCGGAGTTAGGTGTACCTAACAGCCAGACTTGTGTAGAGTCATAATCACACTGAGCCAGGAATGTAGAAACTGGCCAGCAGGTGCAACAGAGGTGGAAATTCAGCATTTAATTCAAGATAATGCTCGCTCAGAGGATTTGATCATTTACACGACGGTTCAATGTCAAGAGGCAAAAGAAGTGCTTGGGGTTTCTTAACAAAAGTGAATGATCGACGTTTGGTGCAGGAGAGCCTAGAATTTGATACCACAACATCCAGCTTAAGAATGGAGGTGGAGGTGGAGGCGGTCACTGCAGCTTTCCGCTCGTTAGAGAACACCACACACACACACACACACACACACACACACATCAGGATTGTAACTGACTCGGAAAGCATGATGAGGAAGATCAGGACAGACATGCTTCGTGCAGAGTGGCATGCTTCGCTGCGGAGGACACGGGTGAGAAGGATTGTCTGGATTTTTTTCCCGGGTGACGCCGGTGTGTTGGGAAATAAATAGGCGGACAGACTGGCTGGCTCTGCACAGCTTGGTGGAATACCGATGCGTGATAAGGCAGACGTGGTTAACGCCTTGTGGGAGAGCGTGTACGGTTCGGAGGAGCAGATGGATCACCACAGTCTGGTGAGATTGATGTAGGGGAGAGTGACGAGATGTTCTGGCAGATGCTCGAGGCTCAGAGGAAAAGCAAGACGGACGTTTATTCAGGATGCTACTGGCACCATTAGTATCGAAATTCTTCGCTGGCTGCTGAAGATGGCGACGGAGCGCTTATGGGAATGCCCCGAGTGCTGTGATGTCGGTTTTTGAATAAAATTCCGGAGTTAAAAATGATACATGTATGTGATTAGTGCTGCTTATCGTCCATCACTCCTGACAGATCCATAGGTGCTCCGACTGATCTTCAGTTGCTCCACGAGTGTGCAGCGACTAATGGTGCTTGTTCTGTGCTGGTTATACAAATGGTGTGTGCCCCTCATGAACCAGCCTGCACCCCCATGCCGATCGTATACTGTATATGGTTACATTACCCCTAGAGTGGGACATCAGTTCTGAAAGGACTCCTGTTTGGAACAATTGGGCTTCTGAGCCCTATTTTCGGTTGAGATGAGAGCTGAATTGGTTTCCGAACAAAACTTTGGTTCCTGGACAGTGCCGATTCCGATCAAGTTGAAAAACAAGACTAGAAATACGTACTTCATAGGATATGCATAATTTGACCCTCTAGTCCGGCCTAGAGATTGCGGGATGCTGCAAAATATCAGTAATGATAGACCAACGCATTGTTTCAAGGGTGTTTGGAAGTTCCTCTGACAGAGAAGGGTGTAAAATCCTCTTAATAATCTTTACCTTTATAGTTTCCTTGAGAAAACTTGGACGCAAGCGACTTGCAAGACCATAAACACACTCTGGAGATAATTATGGCCAGATTATGTAACAAATTCTCTGGGCAAACACAGTTTTGGAAGTGACGGCGCTGATGTAGAGGAACTAGGTCCACGTGACAAGTTCACATCGGAACAACTGGGTCTCATCCAGAAGGAGCAGAAAGACTTAGTGGTAGAGGATATGTCTTCGGTAACATAGATGTGAAGCGAGGTTGTTCGGTTTTGGAATAACTCTTCTTCTTTCGTTCGCCTGAAATAAGTTGTCTATATCAGCAATTTTGTCTCTTAAATAAATTTCACTGTTGTTGTTAATTCATTCAGTGGTCCATAGAGTTTACGTTCCACTGTTGTTCTTTCTGGCCAAAAGGTTTGCCTAAATATGTCAAATTCGGTGCAGTCCTGGAGTACACGCTCTGCTGTCTGAGGCACCTTTCCACAGATGCACTTGGCTGATACGCCTATCTTGAATTTTGTGTACATGTGATTAGGTAATCGGTTGTGCCCTGTTCTGAGGCGGAGGATAATGACTTGTTCTGATCTGTCCAAAATAAAATAGTCGTCTTGTGCTGGGGCTGGTGGTTTCCTGATTAATTTAATGATTCTTTTCTTTTGGTGGTATGTGAATGGTACATCCGGCTGCACTTTTGTCGCACCTTCTCCTGCCAGTTGATCAGCTTTCTCATTTCCAGGCACTCCACAGTGTGATGGTATCCACTGCATTACAACTTTTTGCTGAAGGCTAAGTTGTGTCAGCAGTGTTTGCAATTCTGGTAGTTTCCTAGACTGGAGTGCTTCAAGTACTGATTTTGTATCTGTCAGCATTACTACATACTGGGAGCCAAGATTGGTATTTACCAGTTTCTCTGTTGCTATCTTGATAGCCTGAGTTTCTGCATCATACTTGGTACGCTGGACTTATCCCTAGTACCATCTGGGAATTCTATGTACACTCCAGCACCACCATTTCTAACTGCACTTTCTGCGGGCCCATCTGTATAGACTCTGACCCATTGTTCTTGTGAGTATTCTTTATCAATATAACTGAGGGTGGCCATTCTGCGTTGTACACTATCTTGTTCTTTCTTGTCAAATATTCCTTTCACATTTGTCTGGATTTGTACCGTTAGTTTGCATTTCTCTCTCCATGGGGTTTGTTCTGGAATACTGTTAAGTGGACAACCAATTTCTGGAAGGTCAGCAGTTTGTCTACATATTCTTTTTGCTTGATGTATAAAGCTGCTTCTTTTTAACCGTCCCCAGGCTAGGTTCTTTAATCTATTTTCCATCGGGTGATCTGGCATACTGAGGAACTTTTCAGCTTGTATTTGCAACTTTGTATCTCTGCGTTCTCTCAGTGCCTGTGTTTTCCCAGCTTTCTCCATTTATAATATGGGGGTTGATTTCATCCCTCCTGTGATGACTCTGAGTGCTTGATTTTGCACTTTGTCTAACTCCTTTAATGTAGTACTAGATGCTGAACACCATGCAGTTGACCCATATTCCAAGTGTGGAAGTATGCTCTGCTTGTATACTTTATTGAGTATTTTCCCATCTGCTCCCCATGTAGTTCCACTTAGTTTTCTTAGTATGGCTGTCTTCCTCCTGGCTTTGGTTGCTGCCTTGTTGATATGTTTTCTCCATGTCAACCTGTCATCAAATGTGACTCCGAGGTACGTGGGCTCTTTATCATCTCTTAGGGGTATTCCGATTATTTTGATGATGCCCGCTTTTTGCTTTGGGGAAAGAGTGAAGAGTATGGTGCTACATTTGTCTGTATTGATGCTGACACACCATCTATTCGACCATGCCTCAAGTGCATATGTAGCCCGCTGTAGTATTCTTGTGGCTATTGTTGCGTGTTCATCGGTGCACCACAGTACCAGGTCGTCGGCATACATTGCCATAACTGGAATAACTCTAAAGTACTAAGTTTTACAATACAGGCTCCACTGTACTGACCGTTTAAATTTTGCGCTTCTGTCGTAAAGCGCCGTTGGGAGGAACAGTTTGCGATCCATTGCTTGATATGCAACGATGGCTTTTGGCATTCCGTGTCGATGTAGAAGCTCTTTTATGTCATCAGTCCATTTTCTCCTAGGGCGGCCTCTTGATTTCACTTAAGATATGTCAACGTGTAATGCCTGCGATAGTAATTATTTAAACCACCCCCGCCCCCTCTCCGATCGTTATTTGTTTATCTGACATGTCAAGTTATTCACAAACAATTTTTGTCTGTTTCTTCAGCATGCGCCCTTGAAATGGCAGTGGTTACGTCATTGTGATATGGTAGTATATATTTGTTATTTTAAATTCTATATCTTGAAATTATTTATGTGACTAAAATATCATTTTAATTGTTTTACATTTTCTTTGAATGTTTAAAATTTTCTTTGAAATGGGATGCGATTATGATTGAAATTGAACTATGAATTATTATTATTAGACATTCTTACTAACATTGTGTTATTAAAGTGGTGGATATATTGTGATATAGGCTCGATATATGCGCCTTTCGAACCAACACATCAGATTCAGCAAAACTCTAATAATTGCCTTATTGCGTCATGTTTATAAGGGTCCGTGGACAACATACCCCCCCCCCCCCACACACACACACAAGAACAACTGTTGGAGAAACCACAGTTCTCCTTGCTCTCCTCGAGTTCTTCCTCCAAATCCCAAGAACTCCTGCCTACATGCGGCAGAATTTGTAAACTTTCAACAGTGGAAAGCTCGTATTGTTTACCTGTGCCGAGGTGTGTCTGCAGCTAGGTAGAAGTAAGTAGACATCTGGCTATATTTTGAAGGAGTGGATAGTAACATTCACTGCTTATACGCCAGTATTTCAACATCACCCTCAACCCATGGGAATAATGTCGAGGAACGCTCGCTTGCCTGAACGACCAAAACCCCCATCTTGGCAGGAAATCAGTGAAGATGTCAGTTCAGCTCAGCAAGACAACGAAGACGTGGCTTTTGTTGTGGGATGCGAATACTTGAGGACAACTACTGCAGGTACCGAAAACAGTTACTGGGATTTTTTTTTTCGAGTTCCACTACTGGGAGGGGGGGGGGGTTCTTGTCTAATGACCATTACTGGATTTTGTTTTTCCTTAGGACCACTACTGGGGTTTTTTTCTTCTCTAAGGACCTCTACTGCTGGTTTTCTTCTCCGAGGACAATTTCTGGGATTTTTTTTTCCGAGGACCACTACTGGGGGTTTCCTCTCTGAGACCCACTACTGGGGGTTTTCTTCTCCGATGACCATTACTGGATTTTTTTTTTTTTTTTTTTCTCCAAGGACCACTACTGGGGGCTTTTCTTCTCTAAGGACCACTACTGGGGGTTTTCTTCTTCGATGACCATTACTGGATTGTTTTTGTTTTTTTTTCTCTAAGGACCACTACTGGGGGCTTTTCTTCTCTAAGGACCACTACTGGGGGTTTTCTTCTCCGATGACCATTACTGGATTTTTTTTTTTCTCTAAGGACCACTACTGGGGGCTTTTCTTCTCTAAGGACCACTACTGGGGGTTTTCTTCTCCGATGACCATTACTGGATTTTTTTCTTCTCTAAGGACCACTACTGGGGGCTTTTCTTCTCTAAGGACCACTACTGGGGGTTTTTCTTCTCTAAGGACCACTACTGAGGGCTTTTCTTCTCTAAGGACCACTACTGAGGGCTTTTCTTCTCTAAGGACCACTACTGGGGGCTTTTCTTCTCTAAGGACCACTACTGAGGGCTTTTCTTCTCTAAGGACCACTACTGAGGGCTTTTCTTCTCTAAGGACCACTACTGAGGGCTTTTCTTCTCTAAGGACCACTACTGAGGGCTTTTCTTCTCTAAGGACCACTACTGGGGGCTTTTCTTCTCTAAGGACCACTACTGAGGGCTTTTCTTCTCTAAGGACCACTACTGGGGGCTTTTCTTCTCTAAGGACCACTACTGAGGGCTTTTCTTCTCTAAGGACCACTACTGAGGGCTTTTCTTCTCTAAGGACCACTACTGAGGGCTTTTCTTCTCTAAGGACCACTACTGAGGGCTTTTCTTCTCTAAGGACCACTACTGAGGGCTTTTCTTCTCTAAGGACCACTACTGAGGGCTTTTCTTCTCTAAGGACCACTAACTGCTGGTTTTTTCCTCTGAGGACCAGTACTGGGGGTTTCTTCTCTGAAGACTACTAGAGGTTTTGGCTATCCTCCGAATAACGGCCACATATTATGGCGGCAAAAAACACACCCTGACAGGGCCTCATTAGGTTGTGTGTTGTAATGAGGAACGAAAAAAAGGGAAAATGACGAAATGGACTACTTTGCGATAACTGAGGCCTTTATATCTGAAAATAGTGGCACAGAAATTGCAAATTCTGCCCGAAAATCTGCTTTTTGTGGCTGTGACACCATTGAAACTCGGCTAAATATGATCGGTGCCGCATTGGTATCACAGTTTTCACCACCAAGAGTATCTCCCTCGCGACTACGCGCGGCGCGGATAGGAGGCTAAAATAGATGGCTGGGACTCAGGAGCAAATAAATTGGAAAAAGGTGCAGGAGATGCAGTAGCTGCTGCTTCTGAGTCCCAGCCATCTAGTTTAGCTTCCCCATCCGTAGCAGCACGGGGAATATACTCAGCGGTGAGTTTAATCAGAAGAACACTATTGCTAACCTGCGTTAGAGGGCATTGTCTCCCTGCCATGTCACTATTATCGTGTGTATTTTAGCGTTTCTCAAAATTGTCAACAAACAGTAATCCTAGTTTTGCTGTGATGTGCTCGTCTGTGGAAGTCCGCAATTTACATGTGATTGAGGCCCTATCAGGGTGTGTTTTTGGCCGCCATAATATGTGGCCGTTATTTAGAGGATAGCCGAGGTTTTTTTCTCTGAGGACCACTACTGGGGGTCTCTTCTCTAAGGACTACTACTGGAGGTCTCTTCTCTGTGGTCCACTACTGGGGGTCTCTTCTCTGTGGACCACTACTGGGGGTCTCTTCTCTGTGGACCACTACTGGGGGTCTCTTCTCTGTGGACCACTACTGGGGGTCTCTTCTCTAAGGACTACTACTGGAGGTCTCTTCTCTGTGAACCACTACTAGGCGTCTCTTCTCTGAGGTCCACTAGTGGGGGTCTCTTCTCCTTGAACCACTACTGGGGGTCTCTTCTCTGTGGACCACTAATGGCGGTTTCTTATTTAAGGATCACTACTGCAGGTACTGGGAGTATCTTCTCTGAAGTTGTCAAATTGCTTGCTCATAATAACACCTGATAAAACACTTCAGATATAAATGTAATATATGACAGAAAACAGTGATTAGAAAGCTGACCCGACCAGCGATACAGATAGAACAGGTGCACTGCGACCAGAGTTGATGGATGTAGAAAGATGATTAGCGGACAAGCCAAGAGGCTAGATTGGAGCGCTGTTCAGGGCAGACGAGGGGAAGAAGATAACAGTTCAGGATGAAGGGTGACAGAGGTGTGATTGAGAACCCACGCGGAGAGAGTAGGAAGCGTGGGAATGAGTAGGAGGGAGAGGGACAGGAAGGGCGAGAGGCTTGGCAGAGCAGTGAAGACGGGGCAGTTAGTACCGAGCCGCTCAAGAGAGGAGTTGAGAACACTTTGTGAGAAGATATATATTAAACTTTGAGTTGAGCTAAAAGTGATTAAGGAACTCATAGAGATACATACGAATAGCCAGTAATAAGAAAATGAAGTGTTCCTATACTATTGGTTACTGAAATGATTCATTCTGTTCGACTTGACAATATTGTTAATAAACAAACTCCTGTGTAATTGTTACATCACTGGCCGTGTTGTTGCTACGAACTATATCCATAAAACACTATGTCCGAATTAGGCACATCCATACATGGGGGATGTGAAGATACAACTGTGTCACATATATGCCATGTTTATAACTCAGTAGTTACCAAATTTCAACAAGTGTACTATATGTTTTGTGTAAAAGCAGATATGTTTCCTACACTTTTAAAGTTTTAAATTGGAGGTTGTGGAGGGGAATGTCTTTAAAATATGAATTTGTTCATTTAAGGCTTTAAAAAAAAAAATAAGGACTGTTCTATAAATGGGGGCATCTTATATATTCCTCACGTCCTTCTTAGGACGTAATTTTTTGTTATTTGAAGCCCCACTCTGGCTTTTGCCAGGGGCCGCAATATAGGCAGGCCATCAATATGGCCAATTGTCTGAACGCGGTTTCTGGGACCTCTCCACGGTGATCCTCATCCGCATGGTAGCACTTTGTGTCATCGGGTGTTTATCGCTTGTGTGATGTCCTGGTGGGGTAGAAAGTCAGTCAGTCAGAAACATCTAGTCCCTTTTAACCTGTTACCAGACAAATCTACACAGAACACTTTTCAAATATATGTCATCCTTATAACCTGTTTTTTGTTCCTGTCAAATCGCCAGCAGCCTCATGCCCTCCAGTCTTAGAGAGGTCACCAAACAACAGCCTCCACAGCCCCGAAGTTGATAGTCTGGACCAGGGCTCACCCTCCATCGATGCAGATGCAGTGAAGACTTCAAAATCCAATGTCCACAAACTAATCAGTCTGTACACGGAACTCAACGACTCACTCGGCAGCCTTCAAAAACAGTACACACACCTGAAGCTGGTCCAGGGGGAGTTGTCTCAGTCCATGTCAGAACTGAATGTGTTGGCACAGAGCGTTTCCTCAGATGTAGAGAATCAATCAGGCGGTTCTGTTAGCGGGAAAACTTCCAGCAAGGCAAAATCAAAACAGAAGAAGAAAAAATGAACTTTTGTGAAATGGTTTGAACAAACTGGATCTGTGTTATGGTTTTTCTGTGGTGTTTTAGTGCAAGGTGTCTAATGGCGATATTTTAAAGCTGTGCTAGAAACAAAAGTTGTGCTGTCTGTATGAGGAAGTTTAATTCAGTTCCTAGAATACATGACTCTTGGTGGGCTCTTCGTGTTACTTACTTACTTAGTCGCTCCTCTTCTACCTTGGGGTGTAGAGGTTTGCCAGAGAGATCGCCAGACGTCTCTATCAGCAGTTTTCTTTCTGGCTTTGTTCCATTCCAGTCCTCTGTCAGTCAGGGACTGTCGGATGTTGTCTTCCCAGCGCACCCTGGGTCGTCCCGGAGGTCTGGTTCCCTGGTTCTTAGCCTCCCATGGGGCTCTTCGTGTTACCACTGTAAACTCCAGTGAAAGTCCTGGTTGTTTGTCCACTTCTGAACTTTAGTGTTGTTCCAGGACTTGAGTAGTGTTCATGCAAGTAAGTTTTACAGACCAACTTGAATGCAGTCTGTTGGCCTCTCAGGCAGATGCATTGCTACTTTAAGAAAAGCTAAAGTAAAGGTAATATTGGGAGATGTGAACCAGCGTCATTGCACATGTTTATAAACCACAAGTGCTCTGCCACCAGTATGGACAGTGTATTCAAACCTGTGTGTTCCTGTGAATCAGAAAATGAAGGCAAAAACTTTACATGAACAAGTTATTCCCTCGCATATTTCACCCCTTGTCAAGTTCATATTTCTTGTGAGTCTTGATGCTCAGTACTGCAGATATCACTCGCCCGCCTCCATTAACCTCTCTGATTGGCCTTCAGTTTCCTGTTGGTGACTAAAGCATTTATAGGTCTATTGGTATCCCTCCACCAGGTCTGTGTCTACCCCCCAATTAGCCAGGGCTTTTTTTCCTAGAAAAAATGTCTTTTAAAAAAAGTGCTAGCACTCACAAGGTTTCTATTACTGAAGTGTTTCAACACCAATACCTAAAAAGAGGTTCCAGTTCTGCATACCATTGGCACCACCACAGAAAAAAGCCCTGGGTTCAGCTCATATTATTAAAGCAGTCATTACTCAGTAGGTAATATAGTGAATATCAGGATGTCACCTTTTCTTTCCTAAATATTTCCTGGTGTCCATTAAAACCTCAATTGATCTGAGCGCTAAGGTCCCTGGGAACTAATCCCTACCTCGAGGATTCGAACACCTGACCACTGAGCAGGGAAAGCATGACAGCCACTGCACTAGATTTGCATTTGGTAAATTATGTTGTGTATTAAAATAAAGTCATATAGACACTGGCTGTAGTTTTGTTATCCATGGTTTGAGCAGGCAAAACTAGCTGAATGAGAAGTTTCTTGGTCGTGCATGTCTCTGTAAAAAAAAAAGGCGGGAGGAAAGCATACCAGAACTATTTATTAACCGCCCTTTTTTAAAACCCATTCATCCCGGTGAAGCTACAAGAAACAAATGTTCATGATCCCATTGGAATTCCATTAAAACAAATTTGTACACAGGTCACTAATACATTTTTTTAAAACACCTAATTAAATAATTTATAAAGATGCATGAAGGGAGTAACCAACAAAGCATTAAATGAAATACATTCCCCTGGGCCTGAAAGAAACATATGTATCGTGTGACTCCTATAAATGAGTCTTACGGGAACATTTGACGGCTTAAAGGAAAACACCCCCTCTCCCCGATGATATTTTTAGGTAATGCAGTCATATCCTGACTTCCTAACCGTCTGAGCAGGCATGAAAACGGCAGACAGCATCTTGAAAACAAGTGGGAAAAGTTACATTTACAGGAAATTGGGTGCAACTGGGTAGTGGTAGTTTTGCAGCTTCTCGTGACAAAAGGCAACACAGAAGAAGAATGGCCGTGATTACAGCTGTTGGCTACTTCACCATTTACATATTCTCCTCGATTTATGACCATCTGCCCCCCCCCCCTCCCCAAGGTAAATAAATTGGTAGGTTTAACTGCCTGGGAATCACAGATGCCTATGTACACTAATTATGTGTGCAGCCTGAACTTTTGTGTTTTATGTAAAATTATTGTAACCAGTTAAAATAAAATTATTTTTGAAATATATAAATTCAACATGTCCAGTTTGATTTACGACGTGTTAGTCGGAAAGGAACTTGGTTGTAAGTCGAGTTGACCTAGTACATAATATGTGGACATGCCACAAACACCTTTACCCCCATGTTGGACACAGGACAGTATTTGATGTAGATGTTGTCCCTAGGAGGCTGAACAGGGTATGACCTGCTGGACTGACATCCAGGATGCAACTCTTTGAGCAGCAGAAGTGTCAAAGCTTCAGGCAGCAACCCGGAGAGGTAAAACAAATGCAAATATAAACAAAGACAAAAATGTTCTCATGATCTTTAATTTAAAGACGGAAACAATGAAATCAGAAAAGTTTTCCCTAAGTCTAATCAAAATCAAATATATTGTAAAAACGGGTAATCAACACTGACTATTACCAGATCTGATAAACCCTAAACACCACAAGCTTGGGCCATCTAAACATAAACTTGTGTGTCTGGCACACCCACGCCACAGCAACTGTTGACTATTTGACAGCACTTAGCATGTACCTATAGGTGCTCTCTCTCTCTCTCTCTCTCTCTCAGCATATATAGTGCAGGAGTGATGCCTGTTTCTGATGTGCACTTATTGTAGATAAGACGGGATCGCCATGGTGTAGCGGCCAGACACTCTCGAGAGGATCGGAAAGTCGTGGATTCAGGTCCTAACGCAGCTGGTCTTGTTTCAAAAGTGACCTTGGCTCCCAGGTCGACCCAGCCTTGAGTGGGTACCAGGTAAAGTCCTGGGAAGCAAAGACAGCCAGTGTAATGCTAACCACATCACCCACCAAGTGCCGATCGGTCTAAATACAATATAGGTCTAGCGTTACATGCCCACTAGGCCTGAAGATGTGGAATGGAAAGAAGTCCTTTACTTATTGTAGATGAAACAATCTATACAACAACTGCTTTGGACAAAGGGTTCAAATAACAAATCATGATGATGTGGGTTGGTATCAACGCTTTCTTGGACAGAAATGGTTGAAAGGAGCCGTGTGTGCGTGGTGATGATGACTTGGCAGCAACAGTCACCCCCAGGTCTGCCAGGTTCCCTTTCACATTTCATACCAGACCTCAAAGATTAGTCCGCTGTCCTAGGCCTACAATGAGGTCTGAGAATCCTGGTTTGGTTCAATGCCATTTTGACTGGTCGCTGGAAGTCTCTGCCACCTGTTTAAGGTGGTGAGTTCAGAGTCTGAAGTAGATGCCTGAAATGTTGGCAGTTGGTTGATCTGCGGCAGATGTTTCAGCTGTTCAAGTCCCTGCAAGGATTGCAGCATGGCTGACGCTTGTTGTTGCCAGGCACTCTGTTGTAGCAAGCTCCCTCTATTATCTAGGTAGAAAAACAATTAAACATTACTAAAACAAAATGTAATGCTCACTCATCCGAATTCTCTTCTCAAGCATATTTGATTATGTTCTTGGAGGGGTAAAGTCAACAAGGGAACTGGAATAAAGGAAAAAATGTCAGACCAGTCCAGAAGTGTATGAACAGCCAGGACTTTCCACCAGAGTTTACAGCCAGTGAACGCAAACCAAAAAAATCTATATTGAAGCCAATTGTTTTTAAAAATTCACATTGGCTCCCACGTCTGGGTACCAGATAATGTCCTGGGAAGTAAAGGTAACTCTCATTTGGTCTATAACAGTAGCGGTCTAGCACTAAATGCCCAACGTGCCAAGGAAAAGACTCCTTCACTTATATTTGACTGACTGACTTTCTACCCCACCAGGACATCACACAAGCGATAAACACCCGATGACACAAAGTGCCACCATGCAGATGAGGATCGCCGTGGAGAGGTCCCAGAAACCGCGTTCAGACATTCGGCCATATGTATGGCCTGCCTATATTGCGGCCCCTGGCAAAAGCCAGAGTGGGGCTTCAAATAACAAAAAATTACGTCCTAAGAAGGACGTATAGAATAGTTGTTATTCACTTATATTTCTCATCAAACTAGTAATCTTGTAATTTTATGCAATACCATAACCTAGTATGTATGAGTCCATTTAATTTTAAGCTCTCATGCAATCAAATGCAATGTAATTGTGCTGTTCCTGTTTACAGCAAAGCTGCAATATTTGAACCTCCATGCTGACAAATCAGACTTCATTAAGCATTTGTTAACCTTCCTGTTTGGTTTCTTAGGACATGATATGGCCTTATTTCTGTGGTGCCCTCTATGTCCCTTTGTGTAGAGTTGTTGCCCCTGAAGAAAAGCAATTTTATTGTACAATACAAGCTGGCGACATAAGCCAACTGCTGGGTAGTTGCAGAAGATCAACACAAACACAGGATAGGAAACGGTTCCAACAACCATCAACACAAACACAGGATAGGAAACGGTTCTAACAACCATCAACACAAACACAGGACAGGAAACGGTTCCAACAACCATCAACACAAACAAAGGACAGGAAACGGTTCCAACAACCATCAACACAAACACAGGACAGGAAACGGTTCCAACAACCATCAACACAAACAAAGGACAGGAAACGGTTCCAACAACCATCAACACAAACACAGGACAGGAAACGGTTCCAACAACCAACAACCATCAACACAAACACAGGACAGGAAACGGTTCCAACAACCAACAACCATCAACACAAACACAGGACAGGAAACGGTTCCAACAACCATCAACACAAACAAAGGACAGGAAACGGCTCCAACAACCATCAACACAAACACAGGACAGGAAACTGTTCCAACAACCTTCACCATAACTGGTGCCAATGTTACCACTTACATGTCCCCAAAAGAGAGTCAGAATTCAATAAATTCACTGTCAGATTTCCGATCAGAGGCTGGTAACTTGGGAATGACAGCAGTTGCCCTGATAGTGACAGTGGCTGCCCGGGTGACTGCAGACTCCCCGCTCCTTGAGTGACACTCTGTGCTGGTAACTTGCAAATGAGTTTCTGCAAATGTGTATGTAAATAGTGTTAATGCACTGAACCAAGAAAGCGTAGAAACTAATGAGAAAAAATATTTGACAAGTTTTGACCGACATCCGGGCACAGGTGACAGTATCTGAGGTTTGCTCCACATGGCTGGCAAGTATATTCTAAAGAACAGCCCACACAGCTAAAGGCAATCCTAGATGTGGCATATTAATTTCATAATATATCCATTTAAATCAGAATAAGTTTCACATTCTATTTTTAAAAAAGGGGGCAATTTAAAGAAGACGGTTTATTTCATTTTAGTAATTAACAAATCTGTCATTGCTGTATCGTGAAGAAAGAGCTATTGGTGGTGGGGGAGTCTAATATCAGACCAAACTGCAGATGCCAAATGGTCACCAACCTACACAGTGCAAATCTGACAAGCAGAACTCACTGAAGATCCAAGAAATGGTTCTTATCAGGAATTCTGTATCATTCAAGCAAGAAAAATGCTGGGGCTAACAAAATTGTTCTTTACAAAAGAAATTTGCCACATCCAAGACCTTATGTGGTCTGTACTGTATAGATTCAAACTGACAACCCTGACACCCAAATACAGAAATAAACTATGCATACAAACTAACAGAAATGGCACACAGAGAGAAACAAAGGAACTTGTCAAAATAATCAAACAAAGCCAAAATAAATTACACCGTTGGAAAGATAAACTGTAAACTCTACAGGTTTTGATAATACAGCGTAGGCAAACAGACAGAACAGCAATTGAAGTAAAATCCCTCCTTTAACAGCCCCTTCCGCCATGTCCGGTGTATGGTGCTAGTCATATATGTTCATAGAGCAGTAATGGCTGATGTGGTTATATTAAGTCACCAGCCTCTACTTCTCAACACATTTTATGGTAGGCATTTGCAGCACAACTGTTCAAAGTCACAACTGGTGTCAGACAAGGATGTGTACTGTCACCATTACTTTTCATAACATACATGGATAAGATCACTGTAGAAGCAAACCCAGACGTGTATGCTATAAACGAATTACTTTTTGCTGATGATCAAAGCATACTGTATCAAAATGAATATGATCTACAGGAACATCTGACTACTCTCAACAACAGCTGTTTACAACATAATATGAAAATCAGTACAGAAAAAACAGAAGTTATGAAGATCAGCAGAACACACAGGCCACTGAATATAAATGTTGGAAGTGCCAAAATCAAGCAAACCAAAGAGTTCAAATACTTGGGCAGTATATTTACAGAGGATGGAAGAATGGACAGAGAGATAGAAACAAGAATACAGAAAGCAAATGCTGTCACATACCAACTATCACCTCTGCTTAAACATCCAGATATAACCATGAAGACCAAAAGACAATTGATAAACACCATCTTCATTCCAACACTCTGCTACCAGTGCCAGACATGGACAATCAACAAGACCCATGAAAGAAAAATAGAAGCCTGTGAAATGAAATGTCTAAGAAAAGCAGCGAATAAGACCAGACTAGACAGGATAAAGAACATAGACATTAGAAACACTGTCAAAACTACACCATGTTTAGACTACATAGAACATCAAAGAATGAAATGGTTTGGACATCTAACCAGGATGAAAAATGACCAAATAACATCACAAATTTTCAACCAAAGAAGCTCAGGATATAAGGCAAGAGGAAGACCAAGGAAACGGTGGATTGACGGGGTCTCCGAAACCTGCCAAAAGCATGGCCTCAGAACATCAGATGCTGCCCGTCTTGCTTATGACAGGAACTTGCATCTCCCCACAACGCTTAGCGGCATACGTGGAAGGAAAAAGTAAAAGTAAGTAAGTATTTGCAGCACTGCTTGACCTGGGCGTCAAGATCACTGACAAGAACGCATATATAACAACAAAACAGGTTACGGCAATGGAAGTACTCCTTTAGTCATAAGCAGAGACAAGATCCTTGTTAAAGATTATGCCCGAGAGGAAGGGGAAGGGGAAGGAAGTCAGGAGGATAAAAGGTTGATGGGCAAGGATAATATTACATGTGGTGGACAATGAATGGCAAGGATTGCCATTCTAGTGGACAATGGCAAGGATTGCATTACTTCTAGTGGACAAAGGCAAGGATTGCATTAATTCTAGTGGACAATGGCAAGGATTGCATTAATTCTAGTGGACAATGGCAAGGATTGCATTACTTCTAGTGGACAATGAATGGCAAGGATTGCATAACTTCTAGTGGACAATGGCAAGGATTGCATGACTTTTAGTGGACAATGGCAAGGATTGCATAACTTCTAGTGGACAATGGCAAGGATTGCATTACTTCTAGTGGACAATGGCAAGGATTGCATTACTTCTAGTGGACAATGGCAAGGATTGCATAACTTCTAGTGGACAATGGCAAGGATTGCATTACTTCTAGTGGACAATGGCAAGGATTGCATTACTTCTAGTGGACAATGGCAAGTATAACATTACAGGCTAGTGGACAATGGCAAGGATTGCATTACTTCTAGTGGACAATGGCAAGGATTGCATAACTTCTAGTGGACAATGGCAAGGATTGCATAACTTCTAGTGGACAATGGCAAGGATTGCATTACTTCTAGTGGACAATGGCAAGGATTGCATTACAGGCTAGTGGACAATGGCAAGGATTGCATAACTTCTAGTGGACAATGGCAAGGATTGCATTACTTCTAGTGGACAATGGCAAGGATTGCATTACCTCTAGTGGACAATGGCAAGGATTGCATTACTTCTAGTGGACAATGGCAAGGATTGCATAACTTCTAGTGGACAATGGCAAGGATTGCATTACTTCTAGTGGACAATGGCAAGGATTGCATAACTTCTAGTGGACAATGGCAAGGATTGCATTACTTCTAGTGGACAATGGCAAGGATTGCATTACTTCTAGTGGACAATGAATGGCAAGGATTGCATTACTTCTAGTGGACAATGAATGGCAAGGATTGCATTACTTCTAGTGGACAATGGCAAGGATTGCATTAATTCTAGTGGACAATGGCAAGGATTGCATTACTTCTAGTGGACAATGGCAAGGATTGCATTACTTCTAGTGGACAATGGCAAGGATTGCATTACTTCTAGTGGACAATGGCAAGGATTGCATTACTTCTAGTGGACAATGGCAAGGATTGCATTACTTCTAGTGGACAATGGCAAAAGGGGGCAAGGATTGCATTACTTCTAGTGGACAATGGCAAGGAATGCATTACTTCTAGTGGACAATGGCAAGGATTGCATAACTTCTAGTGGACAATGGCAAGGATTGCATAACTTCTAGTGGACAATGGCAAGGATTGCATTACTTCTAGTGGACAATGGCAAGGATTGCATAACTTCTAGTGGACAATGGCAAGGATTGCATTACTTCTAGTGGACAATGGCAAGGATTGCATTACAGGCTAGTGGACAATGGCAAGGATTGCATAACTTCTAGTGGACAATGGCAAGGATTGCATTACTTCTAGTGGACAATGGCAAGGATTGCATTACCTCTAGTGGACAATGGCAAGGATTGCATTACTTCTAGTGGACAATGGCAAGGATTGCATAACTTCTAGTGGACAATGGCAAGGATTGCATTACTTCTAGTGGACAATGGCAAGGATTGCATAACTTCTAGTGGACAATGGCAAGGATTGCATTACTTCTAGTGGACAATGGCAAGGATTGCATTACTTCTAGTGGACAATGGCAAGGATTGCATTACTTCTAGTGGACAATGAATGGCAAGGATTGCATTACTTCTAGTGGACAATGGCAAGGATTGCATAACTTCTAGTGGACAATGGCAAGGATTGCATTACTTCTAGTGGACAATGGCAAGGATTGCATTACTTGTTCTAGTGGACCAATGGCAAGGATTGCATTACTTCTAGTGGACATGGCAAGGATTGCATTACTTCTAGTGGACAATGGCAAGGATTGCATTACTTCTAGTGGACAATGGCAAGGATTGCATTACTTCTAGTGGACAATGGCAAGGATTGCATTACTTCTAGTGGACAATGGCAAGGATTGCATTACTTCTAGTGGACAATGGCAAGGATTGCATAACTTCTAGTGGACAATGGCAAGGATTGCATAACTTCTAGTGGACAATGGCAAGGATTGCATTACTTCTAGTGGACAATGGCAAGGATTGCATTACTTCTAGTGGACAATGGCAAGTATAACATAACCGCTAGTAACCAATGGCAAAGATAACATTACAAGCTGGTGAGCAAGAGACGGACTGGTAGAAACTTCAGTAAATGTAGTTGCAGAGCTAAAGTTGCTGGAGACATTACATGTGACCTTCAATGTGGAGATGACACATAAGTGACATGAGTGATGTGAAGCAGTACCTCTTGAGACATTACAGGTGATCTTCAATGTGGAGATGACACATAAGTTACATGAGTGATGTGAAGCAGTACCTCTGGAGACAAGCATAGTCTCTCCATCAATAACTGGTTCAATAAAATCTGCTCCCGCAACAGAGAACTCATATCCAGGAGGGTCTGCGCTGATGTGTCCACTGGTTCTACCGCTTGTTCTTTCTGTGAAAGTGAATCTCGTCGCATTGGTGCAACTTTCTGCATTGATTTATTCTGGACAGATGGTTTTGAGCACTCCAGTTCTGTTACACTCACCTATAGGTTTAAATATGAAGACAAAAATATGAAAATTAAATAACTCTGCACTTTCATAAAATATTTCTAATATTTAAAAATTGTGAGAAAACTGTTAAATAAAAGTGTTTAAAAAAATATCTAATCTAATTTCATTTAAGCCTCTATTTTAAAAAAAAATGTAAATAGGATTAATTCAAGGTTGGAGGTTGTGGACAATTTTTAATATCTTGGGTCATTGATTACCAAAAATGGTGACACAATGAAAGAAATTAAACGACGATTATCAGTTGCTCTTCAAAGACTAAAACAATTGAATAAATTATGGAGTGGGACAGACAGAACTACACACATTAGATTTCTAAGAGCATCTATCTTT